ATAACAATTTCAAAATTTTCTGACTTTCTGTTGACTTTAAAATGGAATATCTTTAAAATATATTTTGTTTAATAAATCCTTATATATACCCAATATGAAATATCAGAACAATGCGATTTTCTTCGATAACAAGATTTTTTCTTTACACCGGTAATTGTTATAAACACTGGTATCGCCTAAAGCGTAAAACAAAATAGACGGTAAATCGCCTTTAAAGGTACAAGTTTCTTCCTACTAGTGGAATTAACGCTGGCATTGCCGCCTGTGCAACGTTCTCTTCTAATTTATTGTTACTCTTTTGTACAAGTGTGTGTTACGGTTCAAACAATACGGAGCGGAAAAAGGTGCAGAAGATGAAATATTATTTGGCAGTTCGGCATTTGTCAGATGTAAGTCAGACTGTTCGACGGTTCGGCGACCCAGTTATAATCTCGATAATTCAATTGACATTAAAATGAATTCGGGAGTGACGTCCATTTATCGTTGCCTGGAAATATAGTTGGCAATGGCTATATGCAGAGGAAGAAAAATATCTTTTTGTTTCAGTAAATTCAAATTTTCAATCCATCAAGTTAATATATGTAATTTAAATTAATTTATTAATTCTTATATTAAATGTATTTTTTACTAAAAACATGTGAAAAAATTGATTTAACTAAAATTTTTCTACAATATGTCTTTAAAGTTTCTTAATGTCCATCAAGTACTTATTTTGCTTGCAACTGGTGTAGTAATGCACAAGAATTTACATCAAAGATATTTTTCCTCGTTTGGGAACGAATATAATTCATGGAAATATAATGTATATTGTTATCTTGTCTCTGTCGTTTTAGTTAATACTCAGTCAGATATTGGCACAGAGAATTGTACTAGTAGTATGGAAACAGTTATAGGGGAGACATCAATCGAGCTTGCGGTATTACGCTGATAGGTTGCAGAACCGCAAAGCTTCACCGATATATAGACTATATTATTTATGTATGATAAATTAACTTATATTGTAACAGGAATGTATGAAAAGTAAAAATAAATGAAGAAACGTAAAGCTGTCGTTTCTTTATAATGATAATTTGTTAAAACTCGCATGAAGTACACCTATTGCTATCAATTTATCTTATAGCAAAAATATTCCAAAATCTTGATTACTAATTGTAATCAAGAAGTTAAAAATTTTCTCAAGAATAAAAATATTTGTTTAAAACCGTATTGCAAGGAAAAAATTTAGAAAATGTAGAAATATCTAAATAGCTCTAAGCTCAGTCTTTTTTCTATTTTCTAAATAACAAAAAATAGGAAACAAATAATTATTAAATTAATCAAAATGTGAATTTTCAAATTAATTCCGATAACAAAATATAAATAAATGTTAAACATGGCTCTCTTAGAAGAATAGAATGAAGTTACAGTAGCAATAAAAACAAGTAAAAATTTTTGATGCAATACTTATCAAAAGTCTGTTTCAATAAAAATATACAAAAAATTAAATTCAAAACGTTACAGAATTTATTTTATAATTTTGTCAATCAAAAGCAATTTAAAGATTAAATTTTAATAATAAATTATATAAAAAATTAAATAAAACTATTTTGAAAGTTAATATTAAGATTTCGATTAACTTGAAGGTAAGGGTAAATGTCTTCAATCTTAATTATGTATTATTTACTAATCGTAGATTCTCAGTCTTTCGGCAAATTGCAATATGTCTGTAACGTCACTCCAGAATAAATGAATCGTATTTACGATTCATCGTTTCGTCTTATTTTATTCGACTTTTTTAATAAAAGATATTTGTCTGTGCTTGCTAATGTAAAAAATTAATTTTTAAAAACATATTCTGCTATGCCTATTACATTATTACAGTGCTGATTAATCTTAATTTGCGATACATTTATTAAACAATGTTTAAAATTCCCATAATATTTCAACACTGAAAAATTTTATTCAACCGAGATAGTAAACTGAAGATTTGTTGTTGTTTTAGAATAAAATGTTAAATAGCATTTTTTAAATAAAATATTTGCATTACAAATCTATCTTGATAGCAATCTGATGTTATTTTTGTCATCAACGATGTTAAAGAAGTATAAATACTTATTTTTAATATTAAATATTAGGTGTTGGAATTAATTCGTAGCGTTTTACAAGTGATGGGAAGTACTTTCATTAATGTATTTTTTAATGCTCATGTGAAATAAATAACATTCTTTCATTAAAAAACGCTACGAATTAATTCCAACACCTAATAAAAATTTTATTTAATATTATTTCAATAAAAATGCTAATAAATATTTTATTTAAATTGTTGGTATTGATAAATTTTAATTCTGAGAAAATATAAAAAATTTTTTGTTGTAGTTATTTATAATTTGCTCCTATTAAAGAAAAAATTCTCCTATGAAATTATCTCTAATAAAATATATCGTTTAAATTGAATTATGTCACAAATTAAGAATTATCAACACTGATTTACAGACATATATAAAGAATTAATAAGTATAGTGTCATCGTTATGAAATTATATAACTGGGTCGGAACGTTGCGATCATGTAAAAACGGAAGAGGAAAATTAGAAAGACATTCAAATCGACGTCATCGGTATAAAATAATATAAAAATATGATTATGTATTCAGGATACAAAGGATTCTCCGTTATTTCTTCTATAATATAATGATAATAATTGTAACCTCGCAAACTTTTACGTTGACTATTGGATGACGAAGATTCTTATTTTCCTGTTCTCTTGTATTCTATCGCACGCTTTGCTCGCTTACTATCTTTCATTCCAAATTAATCGTCATATTTCTTTCTCATTTTGTCAAAGAAATATACACTATACACTATCGATATAATCCATTATTCATTGAAGAAAAGAAGAATCCGTTTGCAGATAAATAAAACGGTTTCTCCCGTTCTTCGACGAAACTCATAATTATGTTTCAAGGAGAGACGTCCCATACGCATACTCGTCGCATTCTTATCTTACAGTATATCAAAGTTATATTTACCTCAAGCACTACGATTGCTTTTTAATCCATCGAAATACAGCGCGTAGATGTAAATTCATCTGAAGACTTTATGTTCGGAGTTTTTGAAAAAAGTTTATAAAACAGCATTTGATAAATGGATGAATTTCTTCAACATCTATTTAACATAAATATGATAGAAATTATCCAAAGAGCACTTGGACATAGTAGAGCCAGAAGAAACCAACTTGAAAATATTATTTCTTTATTTAATTTTTCTTAAAAATGTTATTATTCTCTTATATACATAATCTTATATATTATCTTACACTTACTGGTTAAGAACTACATTTTAATATTAAACTTTTTTAATATTTCTTTTTGGTTCAATCATATGCAGAAAATTTGTCTGCGGCATTCTCCATTATTAAAAAGATCGCGTTATTAAAAATGAAGTAACAAAGTTCAAGAAGTTGTCTCAAAAGTTTACAACTATATTAGTATCAGTTGATTTCTTCTTGCCTAACTATATATGCGTCCTCTGATATACACAATCGATCCCATCTTTGCTGCATTTCGTACTTTACTTTATTCCGCGAAAAAATACCCGAAAATATGAATTCTCCAATGATTCTCTTTTTTTTTATCAAATCTGTTTTTCACTTTTTCTCTCCTTCTTGTACCAATTCTAGTTCAATTCACACGTTTCTACATTCTCACACGTTTCTCATACCCTCTTGCGTTTTTTTTTTCACGATATACGCGTGCTTTTGAGCTTAATATCAGCCTCAATTTCAATGTCAGCTTTCCTACATTACAAAGAAAACACATTTCAAAAACCTCGCGTATCCTTACGCTTACTTTCCGCATGATCTCGCAAAAATATTCATCTTGAGCAAAACATTCGTATGTATCTACTATATTAAGAGTATACGTATAGGGTCGACAAATAAAACCGGACGATGTGCCAAAATTTCACGACATCTCACACACTGAAGGAAAGGTGAGTATTTTTGTTAACAATTCATTAAGACTGTGAATTTTGTCAGTGAATGCAAAAATTCACTAGAGAATTTCTCGACGAGAAGATCCGCCTTATTCAAATTATCACTATTGGATACGTCAACATTAGTCACTCGGTTGTCCGGTTTTCCTATCTACCCTGTACAATCATTTTTATCAACTCGGCACTTTTTTCAGAAAAATAAAAATAAAAAGACACGTATTTTCTTTGTATAACATGATGTATGGCATATATAGGCTCCCTATACCACACATGTAATCATAATTTTTGCATTAAAATAGGAAATTTTCACGATAACACTTTTGGAAATGAAATTTAAAAAATGTTCCTGTATAGCTTTCTTCGCTTATAATTTGCCAACACATCCAGTCGGAGCTGAATTGATACGTTTAAATCTTGCGCGACATCCTGATTACTTTCGGCTAATCGATATACTTTGCACGAGCATAGTGATCATTTCACTGAGGTAACTTGTTTATAAGATCATCTAAACAATAGATGGTTCGGTTAATCGACTCGATTATTCCAAGATAACAGATATATATATATATATATATATATATATATGTAATATATAATTATATACGTGTGTATATGCGAGTACTGTTCCTCATTATTAATCAATAAATGTTGCTATATAATAAATTTGTATACTTCATTATCTTAATATTATGGTAATAAATATGCAGCGGTTTGAATTCTTTTTTTTATGTGTTAGTGTTCGCGTGTGTCAATGTAAGTGGCGTGTAATTGAGCGATCGTTCGATTAACCGAACGCGTATTGTGATTGCCTGTTGATCCATTCAACAGAGTCATCGATCATCAGGTCGCGATATATTAGGGCTGAAATAATGTTTCCTATAGCTCGCACGCTACCCATCGAAACAATCAACACGCGTAAAAATCCATTCTATTTTTTATCTCTTACAATTCCGCAAAGCGATATCAATCTATTCATACAGTATTTTATTCGATTGAGGCCAATCTCACATAAGAAAGAATCTCGTAACTCCATTTAGTCTGTTCCAGATTCTTCTCGACTACGCGAAATATTTCTTCATCCTGCCGGAAGCTCTATCGCGTCAAATTTCAAAATAGCAACATTTGCATATATGATTCAATCGACTTTTGTCGCTTTTCTGTTGAAGAGCTCGGCAACAGCTTAATCTATTTCAGGTCGTCTATAGCGCCATAATTAGCGAGCGATTTCTTGATCCTGAGTGCGGTTAGCCTGGCGGCGGCATTGTGATACCAACATTCCTTCATTACTTTCGATATTACTTGCAAAGCCTATGTAAATAATAAATTATTAATTAATTAATTTAACTTATCTAATATTTTTTTAGAAATTAATTTTATCTTTACGGAAAAAACAGTTTTGTTAAAATATCTAAAAATTTAGCTAGATACAAATCTAAAAATAATTTTGTTGAACCATCAGAATAATTATGTAAGACAAACTGATTGCTAGAATGTCAAAACATTTTGCAGCGTTGCTCATCATGCTTGAGTTTCCTACATACAATTATTTTGATGATCTAACAAAATTATTTTTAGATCTGTATCTATCTAAATTTTGAGATATTATATTTTAAAAAATCATTCTTTCTGTACAAACTTTCTTATTGTAGTTTTAATAAAATGTAATTTTAGTTGAAATAATATTTAAATTTTTAAAGTAAATACTATTTTTTTTAATTCGTTTTATCTTTCATTGCTATGAATTGCATTTTATAATTATTTAATTATTATATTTCTCATTACACTACATTTTCAAGTCATGTGAATGTTAATATACAAACATAAATATTACATAAACAAAATAATTTATTAATTAAAGCTGTATGTATATATATTTTATTTCTAATTTATTTTCAAATAATTCTAAGTAAAATTTTTTAATTATTCTAAGTAAAATTAGTAATCTAAACTATATACTTTTGTTGTTTTAATACTCACTTCGATCGACTGCCATCGATTCGGTATCGATGGCCGCTGTCGATCAGTGCACACGACTTTCCGCATTTCCTCGATAGTTGGATCGGAAGGCACCAAGTCGTAAAAGGGCAACTGATACTCGTCGTGAATTCCACCGACATTACAACGTCTAGCAATCTCCCAAAGGATCAGACCGAGTGCGTACACGTCGGCCCTCTTGAATGAGTCGAAGTGGTTCATGTTTATCGTCTCTTCAAGAACCTGAAAGCAGAAAACGTTAGTATGAATTACCGAAGAACCGTCTTCCTGACTGACAAGAGTGCAAACCATCGCGTCTTATCTTTTATTGCTATTTTTATTGTTTAATAATAGTGTCCGACAAATTTAAATTTTTTTTGAGACCACAAAATAGACAAAGTAATTCTTATAGATCTTCTTTTGTCATTGAAAGAGAATCCGCTAATTGTTCAATCACATCACATTTTTGAGAAAATTCTACTTAAAAATATAAAAATGACATTTTTAAACAAAAATAATACAAAAAATTTTCAAACAAATTATATTTGATAATTTAATTTCTAATTCATAATTGACGATTCCTAAAACCTTATATACAAGATACTTTTATAAATAATTTTGCTTTTTATCTTTCGAATCAGAAGAATCTTCTTTTACATGGCAATATAATTACTTCAGGCGCCATGTATCTCTTCGTGCCGACTCTGTTGTTGAGCTGAATGTCGACGGTATCCGTGATTACGTCGTGCCTGGCGGCCAATCCGAGGTCGCCTATGGCGCAGGTACCATTAGTCTTCACAAGGATATTTTTTGACTTCAGGTCCCGATGAGCGATGGCCGGCTTGCCTTGCGTGCCGACTATTTCCATGTGAAGATGTGCCAAGCCAGTGGCGATCGACAAGGCCATCCTTATCATACCGTTCGTGTCGACGGTCGATCTGTTGAGGTAATCGAAGAGCGAGCCCTTCTCGTGATAATCCGTTATCAGCCATAGCTGTGTCCACGTGCCGTTATCTGAAAAGGAACAAAATGACCCGTCATTCCAATTCACAATTTATTCAGAAGACATAATTCGATCGTAATAGCTCTCAAGTAACGTACAAGATGATAAAATATGTAAAGAAAATCGATAAAGAGAGCCTTTGAATGTTTCATATCAATCTGAAGAGCTCGTCCGTGCGCTCGAAACATTTTCAGAAAATAAATTTGTTAGATAAATTAAACCAGTTAAATTTAATTTAATTTTTTTAAATATAAACGTATTTCTTATTAATAATAAATTAGCATGTTAACTTACTTTATAATTATATATTTTTTATTTTGGCACAGAAGGTAACAATGATTCGTATTAAAATTCTCTTTTAAATTAATAAAACAAGCGTAATAAATATCCTAAAAATCATGGAAAGTTGAAAAAGCAGTAAACTATTTTTTAAGTACGATTTTCGATTTCACTAGAATTTTAAATTAAGTATATAAAAAAAATTCACACCTTTGTTATCGGCAGCGATAAAACCTAGAATATTGTCATGCCTCAGCATCACCGTCTGATAAATTTCGGCTTCCCGGAACCAAGATCTCTCCTCTCGCGAGCTGAAGATCTTTACAGCAACATTTTCGCCGCGCCAACGACCGCGCCATACCTCGCCGAAGCGGCCTTTTCCGATCGTTTCTACCAGCTGAATCTGGCGCGCTATGCTCCGTTGTACCAGAAGTGGCAGGCCTACTTGAGAGAGGATGGACATTGGAGAACGTAAATTTCAGTATTAAACATGACTCACGCATTACGTGTTTGTGTACCATGCCTGACGAAAGACGAGGGTTAACGTGTGTACAAATACATGACTTTGTAAAAGAATCTATTAGTAAACAAATCTGAGTTATAGATTCATTTAGCAATTTAAATTCAATGAGCTAATTAATGTAATGATGCATCTGTATTTTTGTGTGTATGCAAAAGGAGTATACTTATATATAGTTATATATTGTTTATATTCATATATTATTTTTTAAGACTAATGAAGCAAATTAATAATATTTTATAAAAATTTACTACACATTTACTAATGTTGTAATAAAAAACTGTAAAATAACAACTCTCTGTATGAAATCTGTATAATTTTTAATAATATTATATATATATATATATATATAAAATGTAAATTACAATTATTATAATTATCTGCATCTTAATCATTTGCTAATAAATATGTACCCATAATAACTATAACAAAGAACGACTAATATATTTCTATCAAAAGATTTTTCTTTTCTTAAAGATTCAAAAGATATTTACCTATTATCTTATCATTTCATACTAGTTTTAAATGATGAACTTTAATTTAATTTGACCTACCTGAGCCACTCCCACTCGTAGTCATCTCCAACATGTCCCTGATAGTGACGCCGCCCAGAATTGGTCGGTCCGGAGCCTCCAGCGAGTCATCCGGAAAGTGCCTAGCCGGCCTCTTTTTGGTCATGTGTATATGATAGATTGCCATTACGACCACGCAGATCGCGCATATTGGTACTGCTATCGTCAAGGCCATTTTCCAGGTAACCCATGTTGCGTCATCACCACTCGACGATACTTTCGGCAAGATATATTCAGTTATTATTTGCACGTACGAGCATCGACGGATAAACGCTAATTCAACTTCGATGACGCTGTATTGTACACGTTATCATACTGAAGGTATGATGTACCAATATCAGAGACATTCAACTTGTAACGTGTATTCCTGGATGAGTAAACTATTGTTTCAAAATTTACAAATTACATGAATGCAAAAAAATTTTCTTAAACGTAGTTTTAGTAATAAGAGAAAAAAATCTAAAGCAATTGTACTTTTTTATGCGTTATTTATTTTTGTTGATATTTAGTAATATTATTTGTTCACATAATTAAATAAATTGTTTCATAATTTTTTCAATAAATTATTTTTTAAATTTACTCTCTCTAAATTTACAGCACATGACGTCGCATGGACATTTCGTGATGTGTTTAAACGACATTAGACGTCAGTAATATAGATATCCAGTAGTATAGATGTTATCCATGCGACATCGAATAAATGTGCTGTGTAAGTTCATATTTATTTAAAACAAACGTTGAATATATCTCTGATCTTAGAAGCAAAAAAACTTCGAATAAAAATACATGAATTGATTAAAATCACTATTATGCATTGTTGATTCGAAAACAAGCAAATGTGAGTAGAGATTTTCAAAGAAAAAAGCTATGAAATGTAGGCGTTAAAAAAAAGCGTAAAGCAAAAAGATATATAACTTATACAGAAGACCTACGTATACCAAAATGCGAAGACATTATGTTACAAAATGTTAATAAAACAGTTAAAGCAAAGCGATTTCTATACTGACAACAGTTAAACAAACACATTTAACAGATATAGTGCAACGTGGACAGGATTTCGGTCTGATCATTTTAGTAATCAATAGCTTGGTTCATGGCTAAACCTCTGAAACTCACGGGATTGAAAGATGTTCTAAGAACCTCTTTGAAATTGAATGATGCATCAACGTACAACTGCGCCTCGATAATTTGCTGTTATTTTAATCGCTAATCTTTATTATTTTCAGTTACTTTGTATATCTTAATTGTTAATTTCAAATTTTAAATTTTAATACTAGTTTAAATTAAGTCATCGTATAAATCAAATAAGATATGCAAAACAGTCTTAGATTTTTTATTTTTATAATCTTTTGACAGATATTAATGATACAAACTGTGACTAAAATAATCATTATTTGTCGTAGTTTTTATCCTCATTTATATATCTAAATAATGTTTTTTTCCACTGAATCCCTAATCATAGAATGTTCTATGTATTGAATCCGAAGTAATCCTTATTCTACCGTGATATGCAACGTAGAACAAAGATAGACATTTCTAACATATCTCGAGACGTCAGTAGCACGTTAAATACAAAATTGACTTACCTGCGAATAACGAAATTGAAGAGCATTACAGTATATTCTTTCAAGTCACACAAATGCTATTAATCAATTATTTATCAAAATTCATCACACAAATATTAAGTGAAAATGGTATTAAGCGATGTCTGAAACAGCCAATTAAATTGTTATAAAATGCTGAGCAAAAACTATTTATTCATTTGAATAAATAATTTATTTATTTCAAATCGTGTTAGTTCAATAATTCACAATTTTATGTTTACAACAAAATAAATTATTGCAACAATCTGAAAAAGAACTAATCTACTGTAAAATATATTGATAGACTTATACAAAAATGTAGTATAAATATTATTTTAAAATAAATATTATTTTTATATTTATATTTATATTTTACTTATACATATATTATATATCTTTAAAGTTAATTTTTTAATATGAAAATATTTGACGTAATGTATCAAAAAATTGCGATAGTTAAGTAATTTTTAAATAAATTTTTATTGAAAGTCATCTCTATAAATCTGAATTACAAAATAGATAACTAAATCCAACTAATAAATCCAATTAATAATTTTTCAAAAATTTGTAATTTAACTTTTTCTGAATTAAAATTATAATAGACGTATCGATATTATTCTCCAGATATAAAAGCTTTGTAAACCAGAGTTTTGAAAGATAAAATTGGATATACGTAGATATGTAAAACAAACTATACATTCATCACGAAATCAAACAATCACGAAATTCAATCGACAGGATTATCGCGATGTGTAGATAGATAGGACGAATCACGATATAATTGGATATTGATTCCTGTGAAGATTTCAATGAGATGACAGGCAACATGGCGAGAAACGATTCACTGATGAATGATCGCACAGCAACAATGAATCTTCTAATAATAATGAGAGAATATGCATCTTGGTAATATTAATAAAAATATTATTTATAAAAAATATTGTTTATAAAAGTATCGTACGTCATTTAAATAATAATTAATGTTTATAGGCTTCTGTTTCGTCACATAATGTTTTTATTTATAATCGACAGAAAGAAATGTATAATATTGTAATGTTGATATTTTCAGTATTACAAGAAAAAACACTAGACTTTTAATATATATATGTATAAATTAAATGTTATAATAATATACTTTAATTGAAAAAAAGTTTAAAAGTATTAAATAATGCAGCAAAATAAAAACACTATTATTATATTTTTGTGTTATATTATTTATTATTTTTTTTATCAGTACATATGTAAATTTAAAAAATTGTCAAATTTAATAGATTTATTACCGTTCCATCTCTCTTCCCCCTCCCTGCAATATATATTATTTTATTTAAAAATATATAAAACTAAAAATATGAAAAAACATTTATTATCCAACGGAAGTGTTACACTTTTTTATTTAAATTTAATCAATTTCCGTTTAATTTACTTTTATAGAAAAACAGATACTTTTTAATTAAATAGAACCAAGAATGTCAAATATGACAGAGTCGTATAGAATTAATGATGCTATACGTTTCAATATTGATAATGTTATAACTACTGGTCCAATGCGAAAATATTTTCCATATGCTAGTAAATTCTCATTGGAGCTGATTAAACTGCCACGTGAATATCAAATTCCATAAGTGAACACATAACGTATGCATCTCGGGCTAGTATCGATCAAATCGCTGCTGCAATGATATCCGCCGATATAACTGGATGTCCTCGCGGATTTATTAGACCACGTACAATCGAATATCGCTTCCAGCCTGTCCCGTCATCCCTTTGTCCAAATCGTGTTGTGCACGCCTCGTTACTTTATATTCCGGGAGAAGCTATTCGTTTGCGCTTGGCAAATTATACCTTCGTTCTCAATGTCCGCTTCTATTCGCGATCGAAATCCATTGGTATATGTATAGATATCAATGATATATTTTCCAAATAGTTCTAGGCTTATATTAATAATACATAAATAATTAAATTAGAAATATAATACAAATAAATAAATAAATGATTCTATTATTGTTAATTATTCAACAATTTTATTACTAAAAATTTATGATAGTTTATTATATTGCTTTCATTTATATAAAAACATTTAGCATAAAAATAGATGTATGAAAAAAATTCGCCCACCTTTAAATATACTGAGATAAGATATAGAGAATACGAGTCTAGATTATTACATAACACATCAAATTGCAATTTCAGCTGTCTCTTAGCTAAAACTACTTATTTATTATAATATTTCGCCCAGTTATCCTTTATTACAAAGTTTTGTAATCATATGTACACATGTGCAATTATTAATAACTCTATGATTTTTTTATAAGGATGGACCATCATTAATTAATTATTTTAAGAAGCAACACAAATTTTTAATTTAATTTATTAGCGTTTATGCAAACGTTTTAATATAATTAATTAAACAGAATCTTTTTTAAAATAGGAAATTCGATTTATATAGCGATTTTTAATATATAATTGGAACAATTTCAACCAATTGAATTATGATCGGAACTATGTGAGATTATTTGATAGTCTGAATGTTATCAGTAAAAATATTACAAAATTTCGTTCCCATTCAACATTATTTCATGAAATTTTCATTAAATCAATTATTTTTAATATGTTTGTTAAACTTATTTATCTTAAGGAACAACTACATTTTTATTTCTATGATTTAAATAAATCTTTTAATGAATAAGTCACATGTGTGTGTGTGTGTGTGTGTGTGTGTGTGTGTGTGTGTGTATGTGTGTGTGCACACAATTGCATAATATATTTATTTAATTTAAAATACATGAGTTTGTAAAAATTATAAAAATATTTTAACAATTAATGCAATACCAGAAAAGTATTTTAAGGTTAACGTACTCTCAATTGTATATGAAATGATAGACTGTGTGGAATGTCCTCGAATTTTTTATCAAATTTTGTTCGCGTTGCAAAATTCACTGGCACGTGTATAATTGTATATACATACAGACAGACTAGTATTATCTTATCTATACGTAACGTACACAGAACGTACGTTATCTGCATCCCCTCTTTATTACGAACAGGAGATGTACGAACAGAAAATGACAGTATACATATATGAGTGCACAATTCAATAACGCTGTCGAAATATATACATACATTTGAAATCTAATAGAAAGTAATTTTTTAAAATTCACTTTTGCCATAAATAAATAATAAAACGTTTAATTAAAATAAAAAATAAACGTCTAAATTAATAATTAAAGTTAAATAATTAAGTTTAAATTTAAATTGTTTAAATTTAATTGTTATTTGAATCATTTTTATTTAACGTTAGAATATTAAAAGTTAAATGCAATAAATATACATAAGTAAATAATAAATTTAAAACATTATAATATGTTATATATGTTTATATAATCTCAAACGCTGTCTAAAGATAATTACGAATTGCGTAATTTATATCTCGCATTATGTAACGAAACAGTAACACTATTCTGTAGTAATAACAAAATATCGATTTTTATTTGATAAAATAATCGTTTAAAAACAAAAAACCACGACGAACGCGATCAGGATACAGAGAACTGTCGGTTGATGGCAGCCATTCTGTCCTTTCCTTGTCTTGTCAGTTTGGCACAAGCAAGATAAATGACGCGAGAACATGAAACATGGGGGAATACAGAGGAGAGAGTGGTGTGAAAAGTGCGCGCCCAGACAATTCACAAAAGCGTAGAAAATCGATAATCGATACCCCGCTTTTCTCATCACTGTCGCACGCATGCCTTACCAAGGTTGCCATCGGAAAAGTCTTTTTCCCGCTAATTTATAATTCGCAAAACAAAAAGCTGAAGCGCCGTAAAACAATGACAAATTTATATACGGCAGAGAAAAAATATTTATAAACTAAATTAAGAAATTATAAAAACAGAAAAAAATTGTAAAAGCAGTAAAAGACCAAAATGTAATTAACTTTGTTTTGTAATCATGCATTATACAAAAAAGGTATATGAAGGATAACAATAGAATTTAATCATAGACTGACTTTGGAATATATAAATCTGCCATTGCTTCTAAGTGCTATTGACATTAAAGCTTCGAAAAATTTCGCAGATTGCATTTGTCAGGATTCAATGGCAAAATATAAATTTATAGTTTTTTTCTTACTTTCCGAACTTTATTGCGTCATTGAATACGTAAATCAAGAGTTTTAAATGCGTAAATTATTACATAATTTATTACATACATTATTATATAAGTTATATATAAGTTATACAACAACGTGCTCATAAAAATATCATAAGAAATAGATAATTTAACAGATGAATTATGACTTAATTGATTATAAACTTGTCAATTAGTCGATTTAGAATAATTTGACATCTCAAAACGTCGATACAATTTCAATATTTTTTAAAAATAAATTTATCGTTCATGTTTTAAATGCTTAGAATTCAATCAATAATTCATTTACTTAATTTTGCTAAGTTATCAGACGCAATTATACGCGATAGCTGTTGTTAGTTATCCGTGTAAATCATTTTATTGCAACTCAACGATTACAAAAGCAAAACCTATCGCTTGCATCATATCACGGATGGCTGATCCATTCAGAACGGAGGACAAGGCAGGAAATGCATCCGACCATAAGTTGCTTTGTCTCGATAAACATATTACAAAATAATCGACATAAACTATTTTCAAAATGTAATAAGTAATAGTTAATAATTTTATAAAAATAGAAATTTAAGACACAATAAAAGCTTTACAATATTAAAATAAAAACGAATCATTAATTTATTAATAAAAAATTGTAAAAACAAAATATAAATTTTTAACTTAACATTCTACTTAAAGCAAAAATATTTTATTTAAAAATGTTAATGCAAGATATTTAACAGTTAAATAAAAAATTTTAAACTACATTTATTAGCAATAATAAAATATTAAAGATATAAATAAATTTTAATAATAAAAAAGAAGCTTTTAGCAGTGAATAGCAATTAATATTATAACAAAATTATTCAATCTTTTATTACTTAGATTATATTACATTCCACACTAAATAGATATAAAAAACTATATCTAAATTTTTTCATTAAAAAATGTAAAAGTTTATATCGTAAAATTGTAAAGTTCTAATATAATAAATCTATCATTACATAATACTGGTTTCTTCCCAATAAAATTGAATAGATAAAAAGCTGGAATTTAAAGACAAATAAATATAGTCAAACCATATTATTAATCTATTAAATTGCTTACCAAATATTAATAATATTTACATTGTGCTAATACGATTAATCTAGTAGTAATAATCTCTAATAAAAACCCCCTTTTTTAAAAATATATTTACTACAGAAAAAATATCTTTAAATAAGCTATAATTATATTACACAAAAATTAATACAACAACTTTATTAATAAACACAATATAACTTTCCGTAATCATTTTACGAATTATCTTTAACACGTATTATTTTAATAAACAAATTACTATCAATTTTTTACTCGAATCACAGAATGTTTAAAATTTCCTTTCAATTTTTACTTAAAGAACTTATTTCTTTTATGACTCAAATAAATATTCAGTATTTCCGCCATTGAATCCTTCGAATTTAATGATCATTTTGTTTTTGCCAGTATCTCATTCAGCGGAGAAATGAACTTTGTAGCAGGAGCAACCTTGGAGGCGAGGAATCTCGCGGCAGCCGCTTTAGCTGCAATTTATTGTACCTCCTTCGAGGTGGTTCGCAAAGTGAGAATTCGACCGACCTCTGGACTCGTAAGTAGGAAAGGAAGGCCTTAGATCGCGATTGCAGTAGTCAGAATGATCGCAACAAGCGATCACGAATTCGATGCCATCTCGACCGCGCAGCGTACCGTTTGTGGTGCACCAGACAGAGTACTCAGTATCCGGAAAGAAGTTCATCTTATTGTAACACCTGGGAAAATAATTTACATAACGAGTACTGCCGCGGACCAGACTATGGCGTTCGTATCGCCGAAAAGTGGAAACAATCCACAGCTGCCGTAAACTGTAAACTGATGTAATATCTTTATGGAAATATAGCGGATAAATCAGCGGATGTACCAGCAAATTACTGGAATAAGATTTTGGTAGGATAATATCCAATTGAGATAAAGAGGAATAAAGAGGAATACTAATGGCAGCATTTTAATTGGCTCAGTATGCTACGACGCAGAGTTTAATAAGCTGCAGAAAAATAATTAGCATACATTAGACTTGATTGCATTAGACTTTTGATTGTGATTAATCTATTTCCTTTTTCGTTTATATTACAACTAAAAACGTAATTTAGAAACATAATACAACTCAAAACTTGTAATTTTAGTTTGTAACGAGAAGAGTAATTATTAATCAAAAAACTAATTAATCGAAGCAGTCAATGCAATTAAATCTTTAAAAAAGTCTATATAAATTTAAAAATGAGAAAAAATTATAAAAATATTGTAGGAGAACAAAAAGCAATCGTAAATTTAAAAAGTTTTATATTTCAATAATAATAAAGTATATTCTATTTAAAAAATTAAATATATTTAATAAAAAATTGAAAAACATTACATTTTTAAAAACACATATATACATATGTGTAAACTAGTATAATAAGAATATATACAGCATTATATAACTTTTCAAAGTTTCATAATACGTGCATATATTATCTAACAAATTTGAAAATTATTTTCAATCTCTGGAGAGATTAATTAGATATTTTTTCTTTTCAGAATTCATGAATTTGTAGACATTCTTCTTCTGATGATACATCTTAAATTAAATTTTTATCTTAACAAAATCAATTTAATATAAACTAAAAAAGTTTTGAAAAATAACAAAACTTTATCTTTCAGTTTATTTTATACTTCATTTGATATTAAACACTAGAAAATTTTTGCAAATTTTAATTTTGCAAAAAATTAATTTTGTCGAATAATCTTGAAAAGAAAGATATAGAACAATAAATAAAATAAATTATTAAAGTTTATCAGGAAATTCTAAAGCTCGACGCAATTCTTACAACATATTGTACTTAAAATCCGTAAAAACATTGATTATATTTTACGCTTTATAAACAGGAAAAAATATAATCTATTACCCTTTTAAATTTTGTAAAAATATTCAATATATACAAAGATAATAAATGTAATATATAAAGTCAGAAGGCATGCAGAAAAGTAAGTAATAGTATTTCAATCCTATCCCAGGCAGAACACATATTCATAATATTATACGACGTCTTCACTTTATTTGCCAGTATAAGTGACAATAACTTATTAATGACTATGTTCTTATGACTTTTGTGTTCTACTTGAGATTTAACCTCACAATCTCAAGAAAATTTTTTAATAAATTATATTGTAAAAATTAAAAAACTTGACATGAGTTGCAAAAAGGTGCATTATAATAATAAAATTAATTAAAATGATTTGAAAATAAATATACCAATGAGGGAATAAAATAATCATAATGTTCTTTTGTACAAAAATTTCTCATGTCAACTTTTTAAATGTTACTTGATATGATAATAGATAAAATCATTAAGTATCATTATGTATAATATATTTTTGTTAACATTAATAAAGAAAACTGCGAATTTTGCAGAAAATCTGAAGGTTATTACAGGAGGCGGGAAAGATATTTACAAAAGCCTTTCTCATGTGGGTCACGCTATCAAAGTTACTTGGGACAATACTATCGTTAAAGAGCGCAGAGAAGAGAGCTATGACAACATGCTACCGGTCCTTTCCGAGTTCACTCAGGAGAATTTCCGGTATACGAAAAAAAAATACAGGAAAAAAATCACCTTGAAGCGACTACAAGCTCCGAAGGTGGCAAACATATCGGTATCACAATAGCGTCACAATAGCGTATTATCTTATCCAAATTCATGATCTTGTTTATTATCTCATTTTTTTCTTATAGATGTTGTTTATTTTATATTAATTTCAACATGAATTTAATTTTGAGATCCATTAAGATATAATTTTTTAGTTTACAATGCATCAAATGTAAATATAATGTAAATAATGTAAGTGTGTATTACATAGAAAAACTGAAAAACTAAAGAAATAATAGAAAATAATAAATGCTAAATAATTATTAATTATATTTTTCGTACAACTCCTTACTGCTGTAAAACAAGCTGTATCGTATTCGTTTTAATGGAAACAATTTACGTATTTATACGCAATATAGTAAGAAAAACGAAGAGAAATAATTTACACACGCGAACGTAACAGAGAGCATAATAACATGTTAATCAAATACTATTAATATTGATAATATTGATATACTAATGTAGTACTTTGTAACTGACTGTGATATTTAATTAAACATTTAATTCTTTTACAGTAACAAATGGAACTTTATACTTCATTATAGTTAAAAAAATCACAATATAAAAAAGTTCGTTTTACGCTATATTGGACGTAATAAACGGCGAAAGAGAACGCGCAAAGCTCATCCGTGAATACGCAAATAGTGCGTCATATATACGCGTCTACGTCTACTAGCGTGTATAACAGCGTGTCAGGAGCTTTCTATTCTTTACACAATATATATAGTGTACATGGCTTTGTACAGATATAGAAAACTAGACAATGTGCCAAAATCATCAGTTGATATTTTAGGAATTAAATTCTTCAACTAACTTTGAAGTAATCCTTGACTTCTGCATAAACATACAAATATTTTTTAATTTGTAAATAATTAAAAATATAGAGTTTAATAAATTAAGATTCAAAAGATAAATATATAAAAAAAATATCGTTTTCTTATCGAATATCAAATAAGTTTCATTTAAGGATCTCAATTGAAAGATTATTTAATATTAAAAAATGTTATTATTTGAGTTTTCATTAAAAAAATGACAGATTAAAATAATCTACTCTTAAAATATCATCAAATAATTTTCATATACATGTCGTATAAAAGTGCACAGATAACAGTAGCGGGAACGCGACAGACAGCGTGTCAGAGAGAACTCAAAATGATAATGCTCGAGCAAAATAAAGATATATGCATTGGCAGGGACCGTGACATAACACTCTATTCCGATCGTAAAAAAATAACTCACAGCTAGGCTAATTCTCCGTTAAGCTATATAAAAACACTCTAACCATTGCTCGAGCCGCTTCTGCTTTATCATAGAACAGAAGAAGCTTCATATTGCGCACAAATTTTTTTGCAATGTTAATATTACTTCTTTTATAAAATATTGCAAATATTATAAATTAAATTTTTATTGTAATTCTTGAATATTTATTTTTTAATGAATAAGTTAGCTCATTTATAAAAAAAAGAAAGAATGTAAAATATCGCTACCAAAAATAGATTAATATAACAATATTGTTCCTTTGATTGCAAAGATTTTTACAAATGATTAAATTAATTTATTGTGAATAAAATATATAACCGTATTATTGTTTTAAATAATATATACTTTGAACTTACGATTAAGCGATTACTGACAATGAGTACTCTTATGCAAAATATATGTCCACGAAATTTAATAATTTTATTAAACATAATAACTTATCTTATTGTAAGGTAGCAATCAAAATAAAATAGCAAAATAAAAAAACATAAAAAGTTAATTAGAACCATTCATTAAATTATATATCATTCAATTATATATATAAGTAAAGTCAATATAATAAAATTAATTGAGCGTATATATCTATGAAGATGACCTTAATAATTTCGAACGATAATAATTACTGCGAATAGAGTTGCCCCTTTAATACTTTAAGTAAATAGTTGCGTGGGATAGGTCAAACTAGCTTCTAACTTGGAAACAGTTTCTTTGTCACATATACAACTGTATATTCCGCTTTCACTCTTGTTGTCTTAGTTTAGACATTTTTAGAAATTTTTCCATATATATGCTATATCTATACATTACTCGTACTATTATAAAATAACTAATATCACAAATATCAAGTTTATAAATAATCATGCAACTATATGTGTAATTACACTGTACGACAAAATTTGATCTCTTTTTACGTCACGAATGTGAATAATCATTTTCTATGTATTTTTGTCTTGCACATGAATCCGTCGCTAAATTTAGCTGTCACGTGACAATTTTCAAAAAATATAGTGTAAAAATAGCGCTGTAGCACTAGCAACAAATTTTTTCTTTAAAATTCGTTATTGCTACGCGAAAGTATCAACTTTAGCTTTCAAATTAATTTTATTTTTTTTGTATGATTTTTCATGTATGTATGTAATACATGGAAAAGACATTTTATTCCATCTTAATATTGCATTTTATAGAAGGAAAAAGTGTCTTCGTACTTACATAATATAATTAAATCATACTAAATCAAAATATGAAATTAACAAAATATAATATGAAAGATTGTAACAATCTCATGTTGCAAAATGATGTTGAACAGTGTTATTAAACATTGCCGGGACTTATTGGCACAATTTTTACAATTAAACTTTTAAACTTGTGATTAAAACATATTGATATGATAAAGAAAACCATTTTCGACATTTCCAGATACGATTCTGTGTACTTATATTATGTAGATTTTATGTAGTTTTTATGTAATAAATGAAATACAAACATGCTACATTGTAATCAGCTTTAGAATGCCTTTATAATGAGATAAATTGATAAATATCATAGTGTAACTTATTTATATAACATTAAATTAATGACTTCACATTAAATTAATAAAAATATAATAGATATGAAAAGACAGACAATAGACATATGTTCTTGATAAAGATTATATCTTTTAAAGTTATTTTGTAATGATCACATAATAAAATTACAAAATAATTGTTACAGAATAACAAATGTAAATTATTTTAAATGTCGCTTACTCTAATTTAGAAATATTAAATATAAAACATTTTGTCAGAGTTAAGTTGTACTTTAACTCTGAGTGTTTACGCACTTTTCGT